GAAGAGAGTGATAAAGAGACTGAAGCAGAGACTAATACAGACATTGGAGCAGCGACTGAAGCAGAGACTAATACAGACATTGGAGCAGCGACTGAAGCAGAGACTGAAGCAGAGACTAATACAGACATTGGAGCAGCGACTGAAGCAGAGACTAATACAGACATTGGAGCAGCGACTGAAGCAGAGACTGAAGCAGAGACTAATACAGACATTGGAGCAACGACTGAAGCAGAGACTAATACAGACATTGGAGCAGCGACTGAAGCAGAGACTGAAGCAGAGACTAATACAGACATTGGAGCAGCGACTGAAGCAGAAAATGAGGCAGTGAATTTAGTCCCATTTTGTTTGCAAACAACTGAGCAAATCCTCAAAAATTGTAACTATGCAATCCCACGTCATTTGCATTTCATGATATACAGTAGCCCCGTCCTGCTGCCTTCTCTCATCGCTCTTTCAGCTTAAACCATCTCGATCTACAGTAACAGCCCAGATGTTCCTGCGGCTGCTCCTGCTGGGATGTACACGTAGGATGTTTTATGCAGACACTGATCGGCGTGTGTCATTTTGAAGACAGCCTAACACAGGTACAGTCAGCGCGCATGGGAGCGGATTCGGGATGTGGGCTAATGGCTGTACATAACGGGCCACCTGCTCAGTCCCGAGAGACTGTCAGCAACATCAGGGTTTGTATGTCTTTTTAATCTCTGTGCTACTGTATTTCTATAGGTGAGTGTTGGAGTGGATTGATTTCAGCCACTGACATGTGTTGCCAGACAGTTCAAGGCCGGGGTGGATAGTAAGATTTAAAAGAAGAAAATACATGTTTTAAAAGAGCATAGCAGAAGTGGAAAAAGTTATATTTTGTAGCTACTGAAGTAAGATAGATGTGAATTAAAATTTACGCTTTAAGAAGAATTATTATGCATTCTTTTGGCCACATAAAATTATAAAAAGAAATACATTTTGGTGGGGAAAGAAAGTACTAATAAAACAATCAGAGGTGGACCCTAAAAGACAACAAGGCCTTCTCTGCAACCCCTAAATCAGTAATATACTTTCTTTAATTTATGTTATGCAAAAAATACATATTAATTTATTCCCCATAGTCTAATCTCTTAAATTCTTAGTTTTCCTAGGATAGTTGCGCTGCTTCCAAATCCAGGTCTGCAGCGGGGCTGGTGTTTATGTTGGAGTTTTTATCCAATCATGATTCAGCCAACATGTGTTACCAGGGTCCAAAATCTGCCTCTAGGCCTTCAGAAGCAGAAGTGCTGGCCCAATGTAGCTCAAAGTGAATTAAAACGACCCTACAGCATTAGCAAATCAGTATCAAGTTGGCTTCTCTGGATTCTCTGATCTGTGTTGGCAAATCGACAACTTTGCAATGTCCTCTGAAACGCTCAGACGCTGGAACGAGTCCAGACTGGGGTAAATGGTTCACAGTGTGTAGAGTGAATGGAAAAGATTATTTATGAACAACATGCATGATTTTTAACATGCAAACAACTACACAGTCAAAAATATTGTTCTTTTATTTTGCACTACTTTGGAAATCCCCTGAGTTTGTGATATGTGCAATAAAAATAACCTACATTTAATTAGATTTTCCCCTCATATTCAAATCCAGCCTGTTTCACCATTTGAAGTCTGTATGTGCGCTCTCCTCCCCTTTCAGCCTTTTTCCAGCAAATTAACTCCCACATCACCAAATTTCACAGTCTATGGAAATCTAGGCCGTGCATGATTTTGTATAAGAAGCAATTGTAGCAGCACCATACTGGGCTCAGCAAGTATACGTGTCCAGTAAAGCATTATTATTCTCTTTCATAGTCTCTCACTATGAAAGAGAGATCCTGGCTTTATACTTCAAAGCCAGGATCTCAAGCCCAGAGTGAAAGCTGACGCAGGGACCTCCATAGACTGTATACTCGGAGTTGACCAACCGAGGGCTGGCGACACCATAGCGCTTTCCAACTCCGAAAGAAGCCCATTTTAACATGAGCTAGCTGGATGCAATTTCCTTATACTGGCATTAGTAGGGTAAGCTTTGTGCTGTAACCATTGACTGTATATTAGGGAAGGCGACAGAAGGCTCCTGGAAATGCGCTGGAAAACGGCAGCAAGAAACTTGTTTTGTGTTTTACAATTTTCATTTTTCTTGCTTTTTTCTGCCTGAGATGTTGCTGCAGTACAGTGTTCATGGTTTTACACTGGTCCTGACCGGAGCAGAGAGGATTCATGGTCCGATCCAAGCAAAACAGGAAAAAATCCACTGGAGGAATGCTAACTTTTTGAGAAATGCTAATGAAGCATTTAGCATTTTACTTTGGACTAGAGCAGAGAAAATGGTCCGAACCAAGCGGCTACTCCACCTCGTGACCTGTCCTGCTCCACCCAAGCGGTTCCTCCATCTCAGTTGCTGTGACCTGAAGGACTGTTGCTGATTATAACTATTGATGGCTTTTTAGCTTTTTAGAATGATCAATTTTATGTTTTCATTTTTGATGCTGCTATCTATCTATTTATCTATCTATCTATCTATTGTTGCATCTCCTGTGTTCGAAGCTCACCCCCCCCTCCTTCATCGAAACAGCTCCCTCATAGAAGTGTTTCGTCTTGTCATTTTTACTCTTTGGCTTTCAACACTGAATAAGTTGTGCTGTCCTCTGTTTTGGTCCTTCATTTTTATTGTTGTATAGTATTTTATGAAAGAAAATTTTGTTCTTGTTTATACATATACCAACAGTATACATAAAGCCGGTAGACTGTGCTGTGTACTCATTAACTCATTCACTGCCCATGACGACAAAAGTCGTTCTATTGTATAGTGACGCCCACTGCCCAAGACGACTAAAGCCCAACGCACACCGAAACGCCTTGACGCGCGGCAAAAGAGCCGCCTCCTTTATTTTCTATGAGAGAACGCACACCAAGGTTGCAGTGACGCGCGGCGACGCTGGACCGGGCGCCACGATTCAGTTTTGTTGAATCCAGACGCGGCGCCGCGGCTGAAACTGTCCCTCCAAGCACCCGTAGTTTTCTTCTTCTGCGCTTCTTATCACGTAGCTGTGAGCGCGGTCTCAAATTTACACACTTGTCGGCGCTATTGCTCAAGTAAACCGGTCACAATGGACGAGGAAAGCTTGATAACCCAAGTACAGCGTTACCCAGAGCTATTTAACCCACAGAATCCTTTTTATAAGGATATCGTGCGAAAGGAAATTGCCTGGAGAGCAATTTCACTTGAAATTGAATGTACAGGTAAGCTAACAATAGGTAATTGTAGCTATTTTTATTGGCTATATTGGCTATATCAGCTGGAAAAGGACGCTAGCCAAGGCGTTCCGGTGTAATTTGACACATGTCATGAACGCGCGTCAAATGACGCGCCGCGAGGCGCTGCGTTTCGGTGTGCGGTGAGCTTTAGACGACTTTTTCGTGTTTTTACACGGGAGGCTGCAGTAATGTCTGGCGCACCTTGTTAATGACCCACAACACTGATATATAGTGCAAATGTACCTGTAATGATAAATCACCACCAGTAGGATGCAGTATTGCACCACAGGAGAGGTCATAAGTCAGTGGAGAGGAGGAGGAGGAGTGTGGGGTCTTTGGACAGCGTGCTGCTGTAGCAGAGCGATGATAGCGTAGTATTGAGACGGATCAGCGATCTAGTTTAGCGATAGTATAGCAAGAGTGATGGCGAAAAAGAATAGTTATAAGCAGCTGACACTGCTTCAGGGATTGACTCGCGGATCAGTGAGTGAGGTCGAGAGGGGAGAGAGGGGAGACCCCGGTGGAGGTCCGTCTCTGCAGCCACATTTGCGCGGAGCAAGAGCCCCGAGCAGAGACACACCCTCCGCCTCTCTCAGCGAATCAGCTGCTGCTGTTACTGATGCCTCGGATTCGTTCAGCAAACCTGATCATGATTTATCGGACACACTCACGAACACTCACACGCACTCACTCACTCACTCACGCACACAGACACACACGCACTCACTCACGCACACAGACACTCACTCGCACACTGACATTCACACACACAGACACTCACTCGCACACTGACATTCACACACACAGACACTCACTCACGCAGACACTCACTCGCACACTGACATTCACACACACACACTCAAATTCACATGCTTCATTCTATTTTATACATCTATAGTTTTATTGATCTTTGTGTTGTTGTTGTTTGACGTTTTGGTTGATGGTATAGAAGAAAGTTAAATTTTCTATCTGTGAATAAATTGCCAACAATTTGCCATCAAAAGTATTATTTCAGAGTCATGTTTTTATAATTTTTGTAATGGAACAAGTGTGGAGATGTGTTGAGTTGTCACTAAAGCAGCAAAAATGCATCTAAAAGTCTCTTTTCTGCTTGATATGTTCCTGTTTACATACAGCTCGTTTTCTCTGTTTTCTTGCTCAGACCAGGTGTTATGGGTGAAAGTATGCTTTGTTCTATGGCAAATAACGCAAGAACGGTAAGAGGTAGAAACAAACTGTTTTTTTCAGAGTAAAGCAGAGAGGCGAATCTTTAATTTGGTGCCCTTGGTGTTTACATCGTCTAAAAAATGAATATTCTGTGGCACTTCAAAGTTGGGTCAAATCACCTGAAATTGCTGGCAGAATGCACTTCTCAAATCTGAAAATGCCTGGCAGTCAGTGAGTTAATGTTACGTTACATTTGTTGTATAGGCAAATCGATAATGTTGTGAACCCAGAGATTACTGCTGTTTTGTTTTCGGGCTGTGCAGAAAATAAATTGAATCGCATTGAGATGGAAGGGCTCATATTTACAAAGATAATTTCACAATATAAATCACACCAAGATGGCCCAACATGGTATGACAAAAACGCTTACAGAGATTGAGGAGTTTACTTTTCAATGTAAGTCAATCGTAGTCAGAGAAAGTTGGAGAAAAAACTTCATGAGCACTTCCCTATTTAGCTTCATTGAAGGTTAGAATTCTCCATCTACATACAGTCTATGATCCCAACCCAAGGGCGCCCACTCTGGACTTCAGCATGCGTGGAGCGGGCTCGGACTTGTCTCTTCGGTCTGATTGAAGAGAACAGATGCGGGTCGGCTCTTGAGGGACCGTCGGAGCCTCATGTTGGGACTCCAGAGCTCCATCTGCCAGCCCCACTCACTGTCACTCTACCAGGCACAGCTTGTGAAAATAATTGCTGAATATTTTATTGGTGCGTCCCGTTTGTGCAGTTGTAGGGGTGTTTGAATGTGCTGAAAAATAGGCAATTCTACTACTATTTTTATTTTGGTCCCATTTGCATTTTAGAATTAAAATGTGAAAGCACATAGTGACAAGCAAATCTTCATGAACTGTAATTATTCAAATAACATTCAATACACAAAATTAAGTATTTTTATCGACTTTTTCAACTCCAGGTTTAGTGCAATCAAGTTCTATAATACTGAGTCTGATAATAAGCCATGTGTTTATGATGAATTATTACATTTATGGACATTCAATCAATCAATCAAATTTTATTTATAAAGCGTTTTCATACAAAAATACAACACAAAGTGCTTTACAGTTTAGTTAAAACAGTCCAATTAGCCCTACAGTACATCTACTACATTGGTCATCCCAGTTCCTTTGGAGCAATGCTCTCTATGTGTTTCATTTTATTTGGTTTTCTGTGTTCGAACAGTTTGATTCTCTGATCTGTTGAGGAATCGACAACTGTGCAAAGTCCCAGGTTCGGGTTATGCCTCAAAACCACACTGATTCCATGCAAAAACCGCTCTAAATCAACAGGAGATTGGCGCATACTGGAGCAGACCCGGAGCAGACTAGAGCAGACTAGAGCAGACTAGAGCAGACTAGAGCAGATTGGAGTCTGATGACGATAGACCTGCTCCGCTCTCCCGCTGTCCTCGCATTGATCCCTGATAACCTGCATGGTTATCGGGCAAGACCGGACCCTGAGTAACAGCGAGATAGTGGGTAAATTTCCATTAATGTCCTTAAATGTCTTGGTGGAAATCACCACTGTCTTAAGACCACTAACCCTAACCTACGGGGGGCCTGCATCTGCATAGAACGGCTCAATAAAAAACTCAGTGAGAAAGAAGGCCCACAGGTTTTGGTTTGGGGGCATTACTAAAATACAGCCTATTTTAATGTTTCAAATACATTTCATGTTTACGATAATGCATATTCTTTACCACCTGGCCCTGTACTCCTGGCATAATCAGCTCTAGTGAAACTGTCTATGGCAGCTGTCTCAGTGGGCGTCATTTCACTGGAGACACTTGATGATTTTTGGAGACATATGATATTCTCAAAGTTTGGTCCGAAAGCCGCACTTGCGGTGCTTTAGCTGCTGTGAGGGATTTGCACAAGAGTTTTCTGGCTTGTTCACTTGCTAGTTTGCTTTGTTAAAGGCACACTGTGTAGTTTTTATTCCCATCAGGCGTTGACATCATATATTGCAGTCCAGGGTACTACGGAAGCTTTCGATGGACAATATGTCGTCTTTTTCCTGTGCGACCACTCGTCAGTGGAACATGCTGCACTGAAACTTGTGGACTGTGCTCGTAGCAGGGCAGATTCTCCCTCGTTCTCATTACCCGTGTGAAATTACTGTCGGTGTGAAGAAAGTTACGTATTGTTCACGTGTATGTTTTTTGTGTACAAACTACAGCAATGTGCCTCCTGTTGTTTCAACTCTGTCTGTCGGTGTGTGTGGTTTGCAATGTTGACACTTTGCTGTTATGAATACGTTTTTGCATAATTATTTTTGTTGTTCGGGTTGTTCTTTTACAAAACGGTGGTCCTTTTATGGTTCTTTTACATAACCGTGGTCCTCCATGATGCTTTTTTCAAACTTGTGACGGCACCGTGAAACAAACAACCTTTTTGTCCCTTATCAACCAATGTATTTCAAGATGGCACATTGACCCGGATAACAGTCCAGCTCTCATGCACATTTATAAATAGAATTCAAGTCTATGACAACAATTCAAAAACATGGTGGAGGTAGAAACTCCTAAAAAGGTCACATTTGTTATTGGATAACATGTTTTTTTCATTTGGAGCAGCTGAATAAATTACACAGAGTACCTTTTAACATGTAACTATATAAGATAAGATAAGATATGCTTTATTTATCTCACAAAGGAGAAATTTACATGTCACATTGGCATGGATAGAAACATTCAAGATTGTGCAGATCCCATGACCGTTACACTGTATTGAACTTAAAATGTAGAGAAACAAATGGGGGTGGATTCAGATGGTAGTCCTGTTTAGTAAGTAAGTAATCTTTATTTATATAGCACCTTTCACAGGCCAGAGTCACAAAGCGGTTTACAATTGTTATTTTTGGGCATTAGTCTCTCACTCCACACAGATGGGAGCGGGTCGCCAAACAGGAGGAGCATGCCAGACCTATTGTACATATTTTTAGTGGTAGGGGAAACCGGAGGAAACCTACGCAGACACGGGGAGAACATGCAAACTCCACTCAGAAAGGCCCTGGTCTGACCGGGATATGAACCAGGACCTTCTTGCTTAGAGGCAAGAGTGCTATCCACTCAGCCACTGTGCCAGCTCAGTCAGTCAAGGCTTCTGTATGCGGTTTGACTGACTGACTCTGAAGAAGAAAGAGGGTGAAACTTGAAGCTGTATCCTGAGACCGGTCCGGCTGCAGTCGGGGGAGCAAGGTGGTGAAGATACCACCTGTCAGTGTCACAAAGCGCTTTAAAATTGTCACAAGTATCACACACAGTGATGGAAGTAGGGTCACCTTTAGAGGAGGCACATGCTGGATCTGTTTTTAGAGGTTGGGGAAACCGGAGCACCTGGAGGAAACCTACGCAGACACAGGGAGAACGTGCAAACATCACACAGAAGTGGACGTTGAATAGAACCCAGCAGTGAAGCACCGAGTACGGTACTCTTTCAACGCAATGACATCACCGCTGCAGCCCTGAGATCAGTCTGTGTGAAATATGAAGTTTACTGCGGGATTATTTTTCCTCTGCCACCAAACGTGTCACAAAGAAAATATATAAAATTCAAACACCATGGAGTTTATCAAATATCTGTTTGAAGAATGTGTCCATGAAAAAGGTTTCTCCCAAATGTTGTCTAATCTCTTTCCCTGTATTTACAGTTTAAGCCGTTAACACTGTTGTTGTGCTGTTTTTTTTCATTAGAGGGGGGAGGGACGGGTCTGATTTGGGGTTTGCTGTCGCAGCCTTACAGCGCCGCCATCAGGTCTGGCACGCACATTACATTTCCCTCTGGTGAATTGGATTTGATTTTCAGCGTTGTGTGGACGGATACGTTTACACAGCCGTCTGTTCGTAAGACTGTGTAAAAACGAAGCATTTGCTAAGCTATGCACGTATGATCAGGAAGCACGGCCGGGTCTAAACAAAGGATTTTTTTCTTTGTAACTGTATCAACTACTCTATATCCTTGACTACCGGTATTAATTCATCACTCACTCTAAAAGAAACACAACTTGTCAATAATAGCTAGAGTATTCGTTTCACTTGTTTGCATTGATCTTGTCTGAAGCCCCTTGTCTGCATCTGTCCTGGAGACCACACATGTGAAACCTGAGTGTGTCTGACTGACAGGACACTGCACTGCTTCCACAGAGGCGACTACAGGGTTATTAGAAATCGCTGCAAAGCATTGTGGGTATATATCTCCTCTATTGACCCATCTGACCCCATCTATCTCCCATTACGTCTGTATAAAGCTGCTGTCTGCACACCGCCTCAGTCTGTGCCCCTGTTTTCACTCCAATATATTCAAGCTGTAACAAACAAAGCTGTAAAAGTAAATGGGGGAGGCTGGTGTTGTGGCGGTCCAGGTTTTCAAAAAAACAAAGATTCAGATCTATTCCAACTCCTGCAGCGGTTACAACTTTATTAGAAAATATGGAGAACAAACTAATTGAACTTATATGGAAAGTCCCGAATGATAATGTTTTGTACACAGCTCAATATTAGTCGTACCTCCCTCCATCTCGCCTTGAGCCAAATTCAAACTAAGAAGCTTATTAATTATGTATATCAGGTGGAATCGAACTTAAATGTGTGTCCAGGCTTTTCTACCTTTCATATCCATGCCCTCTTTCCTTATAAGTAGCCATATTTGTTGCTGACAAAACATGTTACAAAAGATATTTTCAAGTCTAGTCTTGTAAAAGCTAAATAATTAGAATTAAAACACATTATTTCCATCTGTAGACTTTTAAACACAAGTATATTATCGACATTCAAACGACCAATACCAGACAATATGTGAAGTAATTAATAGTAAATAAGAGTATATTAGGGCAGCACGAATAAATGCGAACTAATTGAGCTTGCATGTTTGGTGGCCGCAATCAGCCAATCGCAAAGACTGTAATTAATTATATTGATTTATTTTCTTTACAAACACTACAATATTGTGTTGCTATAATATTGATTATTATCAATCTGGCTATGCTCATGTTTAGAACTCTAAAACAGGCTTAGAAACACAAGGATCCCCCCAAAAACTTATAAAACCCCAAGATACTAAGATAATATTATGAGAGGCCCACATATTTCAACCACAGTGGGAATTTATAATAATAATGCATCGGTTTTATATAACGCTTTTTTGGTCACTCAAAGACACAAATCTTTCACTCCATACACGGTGGTGATAATCTACTACTGTAGCCACAGCTGCCCTAGGGCACATTGACAGAAGCGAGGCAACCAGTATGTGCCATCGGCCCCTCCAACCATTCATTCACACACCAGATTCATTCTAGGCAATGGGGGTGAAGTGTCTTGCCTGAGGACACAACAGCAGTTTGGCACTTTACAGCCGCAGCCGCCCCACTGTGGCACCTGGTGTTCCCAGAGGATAAGTGTCTTGCCAGGACACAACAACGGCAGACAGTGGGAGTCGGTGGTGAAAGTCGGGCTCAAACCCACGACCCTCTGGCTCAAAGGCCAATGCACAACCAACTGAGCTACTGTCGCCCACAATTTAAGTGAGAACTTGCTTGGAATAAACAGATATTTATTAGTCAATAATTGATATAAGTGTTTTTCGAATTGGGTTTTTTTCTCAAATTTTAATTCCCCTTGTGCACTTTTGAATGTTATTCTCGCTGCACAACATAAATCGCAACTTGAATCACAATAGTTTAACAAAAGTTGCCGAATTCTATGTCAATTGGAGGGCACAACCCGATGCATTTTTGAAAAGACATACTAAAAAAAAAGTTTCCAAATGTTTTCTTTCCCGATTCAAATTTGAGGCTAGTTTGAGATTCACAAACTCACCATATTATTCTTATGTTCGCTTCTACTGGCCAACATCGTGCATATATTTTTTGAATGATGTCACCATTTCGAGACACCTTTATGAGGAAATAATGAGACCATAATGTATATGTACTGCCCATAAGATGTGGAAATTACAGAGAAATATCACTAAACCAAGACTGGAATCTGACTTTTGACACTTTCCATCCCCAACAGTTGCCTTTCACCACAGTTTCAAACTACAGGCTCTTTGGAATGAATGAACTTAACCCTATTAAAAAGCAGTAGCGTTTTACTTGACATAGTTCCATTTAACTCCCACATTGAGCGCTCTCCCCTTTGATCTGTTCGTCACCGCTCTTCCAGCTCTTCCGCCTCCCTCCCTCTGCATGTGTCTCCTCCCTCTGTCTCCATATGGGGCTGGTCGGATCCATCACCTCGCTCTGCAACAGGAGCATCCGTCAGACGAGAACCCCTTCATTTTGACACGTGTGCTTGTCCGCTTGTCTCTCCTGTCTCTGCACATACTTGGCCTTCTCGCCGCTGTCTCAATCGCTCTTCTACACGCCGCACCGGCTTCTTTTAGCGGCTGAAACGAGAGGGTGTTTGGTCGGCTTAAATGCACTGAGAGGATAACGCATGACGTTTCCATCAAGCGTTGCGATGGAAGGTGGTCCTCTCCATGTAACACGAACGACAGGCAGGTGCAAGCTAGCAGCCTTTGCTAGCCCCCTGCCTTGCTAACCTTTGCTTTTTTAAGACATTTTCTTCACTGTAAACCATGATAATAATAATAATAATAATAATAATAATATTACATAATACAAATTCAGATTCAGTTTATTTGCCATTTTCAGTAAAACCACATTGAATAACTATACAAGATTGGTAGAGCATTGGCCTTTGGGTCGTGGGTTCGAGCCCACCATGAGACCTACGTCACGTCTGCTGTCATTGTGTCCTTGGGCAAGACACTTAACCCCACGTTGCCTGAAGCCCCTGCTGAAAGGTCAAGTCTCCTGTGGACTCACCGCCTGCAGGAGGATCGGTGTGGGGCTGGTGCTGAGTGTACTGGGTGCAGCTCCGCTGCCACTCCTGACCCAGAAATGGAATAAGGGGAAGAAAATGGATCGATGGTTTTCCCCAGTGTACACAAAAATGATAACGCTTTATAATGTTTGATTTCTAACAATTTATAAACGTTAACTAGTCATAGACTATTTAAGCACTTACATATTAAAGGTGCAATATGCAAATAATCTGGCCAAAAGGAGTACTGCAACCTCTCCCACTCTCCCTGATTCAGGTTGCCAGATATGCAGACGAATCTAGCTGGGAACATTACAGCTGCATATACAAGAGGTTTGGCAACAACACATCAATAACCAACATTCTTTTCACAAGGATAGAAATCCTCGTTTAATTCCTTTTTTTTTATTAATGATTTGAGAATCATGACGAGACCTTCTTTAGTTCTGCGGCCATTTATTGACATGACGATCGTACATCGCCTTTAACAAATGTCTATTATGTACAAATAGGTAGCTGAAGATCAAAAACTCATTAACAAGGGATATTTGTAATTAATTAACACATCCTTTAGTTCTCATTTAGATATATGAGTGTTTATAATCATTCACAAATGATTTACACATGATTTCCTAATTTCTTATAATCTCAAACCGATATATTTCCTGTAATTAATTCATGATTATACTACTAGTATCTAAACTTCTACTTTTGAAAACTCCAAACAACAAATACTTTAGCTGAGGTTTTGTATCGTGGATCCAGTCTCTGAAAATCAAATGTGTCTTTCAATATCCCATGTGCTCTCTCTGACACTTTGACCATAAAGACTGAGACAAGAGCTTTTCATCGGGGTTTGAGAGGACCGAGAAGAACTGGGTTTGTGATTTCTGTACATCTAAACACACAGATGGTTGTATGACAGGACAATATTGAGTAAAGCAGAGTCTGTGACAGGAGCCTGGAGCCTTTGGGGACTGACTGTGGGTGTCACGACTCCAGCTCACAGCACGAGGCTGATGGGCACAAGAACACTCCAAAACCCCTCACAAAACAAAAAGCCGAGCAACTCTCAATCCGCTCTTGTCATATGTGCAAAGGGCCATGATGTTGTGTTTTGGAAAACTTTCAATTCTATGTTAGGTTCATCTGAGTAAGAACAACACAGACGAGAGGAAATTAGACCCACATAAAAAGACTAAAACCAACACTTATGACAAAACAATCAGTATTTTTTAAGTCTTTGAGTGTCAAAAAAAGTGCTAATAAGTATGATGTGTTATTATCATTATTATTATTAAAGTCTTAAAGCTGGGGTACCTAACTCTCAAACCACAAAACACGTAACCATAGTAAAAGAAATCCATCTACCTAGCTCCTCGCTCTCATGTATTTTGGCCGCTGTCTCATCTTTAGACTTGCTTTTTCAGACAGAAAAAGCTATCAGCTCTCATCCCAAAGTGTCAAATGGTGATAGTAGTCACGGGGATTAGCCACATTTCCACCGCAGGAACTTCGGGGTTATTTTTAAGGGCCAGCTTTCCCCACAGGACTATTTACAGGAAATTTCACCGGGCCCAACGGAGTCCGTCCTCCATGCTAGGTACTTCGTTGGGCCCTGGTGAGACTTGAGGTTAACCCGGCGCTGATTGGCTAAAGCTAGCGCAGGCTCTGACGCCAGCAGAAAGCAGGAAAACAACCGGCATTAGCCCAGCAGCTTTAGCCTAGTAGCATTAGCCTAGCAGAACCCACTGGAAACAGTGAACAACAGCACAGCATTGATTCAGACGGGGTTTGAGGCATCGCCGCAAAATGAAAAGATTATGTTGAAACTAAATATTAGCTTCCCCTCAAAGCACTGGGGATTTATCACACTTCGAAACATGCTGTGAATAGTTTTTTTAAATCTGAATCTGGACTATAAACAAACCCAAAGACCACAAGCGTAAAATTAACAAATGGGTTTGGCGCATGGATTTATAATAATAATGGATTTTAGCGTAAAGGAGTTTTGCTTATGCGGCAATCAAAACTCATGACGTCGCCGAGTGGTCCTACTGTTGTGAAGACACGGCCGTGTGTCCACCCCGCTCCTTTTACCAGGAACACCTGCGGTGGAAACCCGGCTATTGACTGTATATAGAAGGACAGATGCCAACCTCCAAGCTCAATGAAGCCGATAGGGAAGTGCACATGGATAAAGTTTGGCTCCTTCAGGCTTACATTGAAAAGTAAACTTCTCTTGCTCAGTAACTGTTTACAGGAACATGTAAAGCCTGGTTCACACGGGACGATTTTAAAATTGTCGCCCGATTTTTTTCTCAGTGAGAAACCCCATACACGGAGATAAAAAATCACGGGTCTAACCACTTTGGTTGTACAGTGTGTGGTGTGCAGCCACACGGCAAAATCACGCAAACCACACACGAACCGATTTCACCCCCGAGCATTCACAGGTCACCGGAAATCTCACAACATCTCTCGAGATCAAGTGTGACTTCAGAGTAAACAGAGTGTGCTGGCCTCTCTGCTTCACGCAGCCTATAGAGACTCTCGTCTGACCACAGCAGCCACAGATACCATGAGGACAAACTCTCTACTCTAGAGTTTGTCCTGCTGCTGTACGGGCCAGAGAACTGCTCTACAGTTCTCTGGCCCGTACTGTCTGTGCTGTTCAACAATACAGTTTGTACGGACTACCTGTGAACGCATCACACACACTGCTAGACATGAAACTTCACATACGCTCAAACCAACAAGCACTGCTGCAGTAACGGCTGCATCAACACGTCTGTACTGTATTAGGACAGAGTGCAAAGTAAACGTACAAACACAACCCATCAGTCTGATCATTTAGTGCACTAATCCCGTCCGAATTGGGCTTATGCCAACACTACCTGTGCAGCAGCAATTTCTGCCCAATTCCTCTCCTTGTCATTTCGGTGATATTCTTTACACGAAATGTCATACATACATACATTCACGGTGTTGCCAGAGGTCAACTAGTTGTTCCTCCATCTCTGATGTCCACCGAACTTTCTGGTGCGCCATGCCGCTGACTGTTATGGTTTTTTTACGGCGTTTCCTCGCCGCCTCGTCTCGTCTTCTGATTGGCTACATGCCGCAGTCATGGCAACGCGCACGTCTGACCCCGGGGGACACCACACACAAAGAGAAATCGGGCCAAAACAATCCAACATGTTGGATATCCCCGATATTGAGATCGGAGCAGTCCCGAAGTCCTTCCAAGCGACGAGCACAGTCTTAACACACGGCAGGAAAATACATCAGATTTTTTGTAACGATATTTGGAGCGTTCTTACGATTGTCGTAGGGGTAAATCGGGTCCAAAATTGGCCTAATTATCCTGCCGTGTGAACCAGGCTTAAGGGAATAGGCTCCGGCTAACTAATGTTTCAAGTGACTTCTTCCTCATACGTAAAATGCTGTATCTGTCTATGCTCACTGAGGTCTCTAATAAGATGAAGATATAAGTTGTGGTCTGATCTATTCTGAAAGGTTTAAAAGACTCTTTCTGTTGGGAAAAACAAACTGCATTATTTATGGAGAAATAAACAGCTGTTACCAGAGCTATTTTAATGTTTTAGAAGACTTGGCAAAAAGGTTTACGTCCAATTGGATCTGAGACATCGTTTCATAAGGCACAACCAAATCAGAAATACAGTTTGTGTGGGCGGCAGATTGTGGAAGGATTAATAAACGAGCATGAGGATTTCAAAATGAATCCATGCCTGAATTAGGAGACATTTTTATTTCCGAGTCAGAACCTGATATGAGAGTAAGAACTAAGAGTTACAATACACTAATCTACTTGTGACCAGTGTTGGGGAAGTTAGTTTTAAAAATGATATTTTATCTTTATTAATTACTTCTTTTAAAAAGTAACCTTTTACTCTCTAAAGAAAGTAACTTATTATGTTACTCGTTACTTTTGTCTTACTCTTGTGTTACTGTTATTATGCTCCACTTTGAGCAGAACTGTTCTTAAAAAAGTTGCCTCCCAATTTTTAACAATGAATAATTCTGGGTTCAGACCCCACCACAGGACTGAGACCGCTCTAGTGAAGGTAACAAACGACATTCGACTTCACACTGATGCAGGTAAAGTCACAGTTTTAGGCAGTTTTAGTCATGTTGGATCTTAGTGCCACGTTCAACACTGTCGACAATCAGATCCTCATGCAGAGACTAGAGGTCTGGGTTGGTGTCACTGGCACCGCCCAAAACTGGTTTAGGTCTCACCTGGAAGATAGGAAGTACTTTGTGGAGATTGGAGACTGCGTCTCAGATCAAATTGCCCTGACCTGTGGAGTACCTCAGGGGTCAATCCTGGGACCTCTTCTGTTCAATCTCTACATGCTGCCGTTAGGTCAGTTCATACAAAGAAACAAAGTGTCCTACCACAATT